TACAAGCACGAGTCGTCTGCAAAGCGGAGGTGATGTAGATAGCGGACGTCGTCCTTCACTCCCAAGTCTACCCATTCTAAATGACGCATGAAGTTTTCGGGAGCGGCACTGAAAAGTTAAGGCGAAATGGTAACACCTCTCTTCAGGTTGATGATGACTTCCGTGTAGAATGGTGAGATCCTGGTCGTGAAATTGTAGAGCTCACGAAGCATCTTTATATATTGAGTAGGGACACCCTGGTTGCCCAAGGCTTCCATTACCGCTTCTGTCTCGACGGTATCAAGTGCTTTCTTCAAATCGATGAAAGTAAGACATAACAGCATTTCGTACTCTTGCAATACTTCAGTGAGTCTTGAAAGAGAGTGAATATGATCGATTGTACTGAGCCCTCTCCAAAATCCTGCTTGCTCGCATGGCTGTCCTTCATCTAATATTCTGCCAATCTTGCTTAGAATGACGCGAGTGAAAAGTTAGTGGATTACAGACAGCAGTCAGATAATTGCCAATATCGTCTGGATCTCCTTTTTATACAGCAACACAGTCTTGTTAGTTTTCCACAAAGTGGGCACTTTGCATTCCGACAAGTACCGCGTGAAGAGCCTCGCCAGTGTTCTAACGATAACTGGTGGAAGAATTCAGATGTTTTGGTTCGATCCTATCGAGACCGGGCGCCGTACAATTTTTCATCGACGTAATGGCATTTCGAATTCCGGAAGGGAGAACCGAAGGAACGGTATATTCGTCTAGCTTAAAGGCACGGTTCACGATGAAAATGGTTACGGTATTCTTCCCTAAGGAATACACAGTGACCCCCATGGGCGTAGAAGGGACCCTCTCGTTCACAAAATCTCGACGGACAGGGCAGTGGAAGCCCTGTTGCTGGCTTGAGTGGCTTTCCCGCCTCTCGATCGATGTCACGTCAGACGAGTGTCGAAGCAATACAGATTGCTATTTTTCGTTCTAGGACCCACACACACAATCAGCTGATCGCCGAGTGATGGGGCGTATTTTTCTCCCACTCTTTTTTCCACTGTTATTCTTTTTGCTGCCGCGATCCCTTTAATTTCCTACCCCAAGAGGCTGAAAAAGGTGAGTTTTTTTTTTTGCTGTGACTGGTGTTTTTTTTGTTTACTTATGCTTATAAGTGAATGAATTTTTGCTTCCCGTAGTCATTTATCTGCACCAGGACTCACATGTACGCAATGACGCACTGTGCGTAGCTCGTCCAAACGCCCACTCTTCTTAATTCTTCTAGTCTCGTTCTCGTTCAGCCCCCTTTTTAACGATTTTTTCGAAGCTTTTCTCACTTCGGAAACAGTTCCGACTCCTCGATCGCACTATTTTCCATCTTATCTTCCATTTTTCGTCATAATGTGGGTTACCCAAAATTATCGTAAACTTTGCCTTCAAGATGGTGGGTAGGCAGATAGACGTGGCTGTCAAAGAGATCCGATTCATTTTCTCCATTGCCTCGGATCTCTTCGACATCAGTTCTTCTATACACGCTTCTGATGCAAGCATGCGTTGGAAGTACAGATCGCCATCTTAGTCCTTCCCCTTTTGAGCAGCCTGTTTTGTACCTGAGATTTTAGGCCAACGCTGCTCCCTCAGGATCAGGGGAATGAGGCCCATGTGCATTACTGTTTTTGGCGAGTGGATAACCAACGTTTAGCTTGCCAGGCTTTAACAGGGGGCTGGGTTGACTCCGCGGCTTGCCATGCTATCTCAAAGTGTACGAGGGGCTTTGTTTCTGGAGGTCCCGAATCGCCCCCAGATACTTCCCACTCGCTTGACTGCAAGCTTTTGGCTGAGTCGATGGGCAGAACACCACCTGCACACACAGACTCTCCACACACGTCTGCGTGGATACGCTTGCGAGAAACAGAAGGTATAGCGACCAGCACAGCAGAATCAGGGAGCCTATCCCTCGAATCCACATGCGTCTCTTGGCAAGTACTGGCGACGATTATCGGCGATTAATTCTTATATCCGCCACCTGGGGACGCATTACGTAGCCTCGCCGCTAACCGGCTGAGATCCTCAAGAGAGAGAAGCCTCAGTGAAGGAGAACCGTAGAGGCTCACAACAAAGAATAAAAAGACACGGAGCTTCTTCGAACAGTCGAATAAAAATCAATAATGACGCGGTTCCGTCTCTGAGTAGGGTTTGCCTTGTATTTACTTGCCACGTGGCATAGACACGTCACTACGGGATAAACACGTAATACTGAATAACGGAATAATATCACACGAGACACGGTAACCAAGTGACTTGTCAACGAAATACTTAGACGTCAAGGAGGTCAAGTAGATCCCCCTCAATACTCTACAAAATTCGTAATGGATAAATAAACGATATTATACGCAGCATGTTGATGCTATGTATGTTATGCCGTGTAATGTATCCTTGCGCTCTACAGAAAACAAGTAAAACTTTCTGAGTAACCCTAGAAGGTTCTGCTGGCTTCCATCAAGCAGCACTGTCTAGCTGAACAGATGGGAGAGAGCAGACATTCTCACAAAAAATATGACAGTAACCTGTAAATGATTTTTGTTCAAAACGATTTCGCTATCGGTCAGGATCGATACATTTTCTATTAAATCACACAGATTGACCACGATAGTATTACTGGGCCGAATCGCCATCAGAATTCTCGGAAGAATCTGCTTAAACCTCATAAGGGCATCCGTAGTTTCTTGTGGGCTAAGAGTATCGCACTCACCGGAGACGACCTAGTTCGCTACCACTTTTGAAGACTCTCAATTCATCCTGCGCTAATTGTAGAACTGCTGCAAAGTGTGTTGCAGGGATTCGAGGCGGCGTGTAGCTATGCTGAGTACTATTCTAATTGAACACATTTTCTTTCATAGGGAACTGTGCTGAAAGAGACTGGAGGTTTTTGTTGGCTAAGAGTATAGATCTCGCACACACCAGAGACAACCTAATTCACTATTGCTTCTGAAGAGTGCCATTCGGAGTGACGGCATCTCCGAGTGTGCTCAAATAGGCACAACCTCAGCAGTGAACCATGTTTCTCCACTATCAAGTGAGATTGCGAATCGTCTTAATGTTGACGACGTAATGACGGCTGGGTTTGTCGAAAAAGCATTGAGTTCGTACCACCAATCCAAGCAGCTGCTCACCATAGCCGGAATGAATTACCGAGAATGTATTTGGAATTGCTGCAAAGTCAATTCAGTAATTCCTCAAAAAGACAAATTAGGAACAGATTGCTTGAAAATTCTGGGCGGCAATTAAGGTAGTGACAGAAGCGTTCCGAATAAGGACCGATTTTTGATTTGCGGGTAATCTTACAAAAAACGCATAATTAGTAAGATGATTTCTGTTTATGATTCAATAGGACTAGCAGGTCTCTTATTAGCCCACTAAAGGTCAATGGTGAAGGGTCATCGATCAAGGAGCTGATTGGAAAACCAGTTTTGACTCCGTAACATGCCATAATTGGAAACAACTGTGCAGCGAAGTTAGCAACACGACCATGACTGGGCCCCACCTTTCTACTATTTCTATGGAGCGAAAATGCGCCTGAAGATTTTTGAATACTCTAGTAACATTGCCATTGTCATATGCGCGTATGGGCAGAACATCCAGACGGGGATAAGCTCGTGCCTACATAGTGGAAAAACACGACTGACACCCAATAAATGCTGTCGAACTAGCCCGCGACTAGAACTCCCAAGGATTCTGATGGCGAGTCGGCTCAGTAATACTTTTGTGGTCAGTCTGCATGACTTAATAGAAAATGTATCGATCTTGACCCATAGCGAAATCGTTTTGTACCGCTCGAGTACCGCTCAAATTGAGATGTATTCTGCGGAATGTATTCTTTGCATCTCAAAATGATAAAACAATTCCGCGAACAGAATTGCAGAGGCGAATCTTCCTGTAATGTGGGACGAATGAGCAAATTGAACACCGTGGCCAACGTGCAGTGAGGGCGCTGTTGTTAGGGCAAAGAATAGGCGTAGCAGCAAGGCTTAATTCCTTGATACCTATCTATAATGTGCGTGAAAAGCATTTGCAAGCTGTTTTATCCCTTTTGCTGACTACCTACGGCCTCACTTCTCTTTGAGGTCCTCGAAAATGAATTTCCAGAAAACTGGAACTGAAGTGCCTAGCTTACTCAAGAAGGGATGGGGCTACTTCTCAAAAATCGCGGCGCGCTCGACCGAACCCGACAGCGTACACTCGCACCCCATGAAGTGAAAAGTTGAATTCCTAGTGGAACGATGGAACAACTACCGCCAAACCACTGCTGCTTGCCGTGAGAATTCGGGTAGAGTACTGCAACCCCTCAAGAAAAGCTGGTTAAAATTACTGGGCTTTTTATGACCATATTTGATACTTCAGCACGGAGAATCTAAGATGGTCTTTCCATAGTAATGAAACAACTGACAAGGAAAAGCTTCTCTAACCTATCACTGTCACCGTTTCACTATCCACATGATGTACGAAATACACTTTCTCAGTTTCTTTTGAGTTTTGCCGATGATCTTCGGTAGTAATGAAGCAAAATTTGCTCTCCGTACATGGAAGTGTGCGACTTTTCTCGGCTCTTAAAAGGTGACAAACGATGGCCAACTCCACCTCTGCTAAACAGTTGTGCTCATAGGCTAACTTGCAAATTAGTTACTTGCTTCTCTTTCGAAATTATCCATCTCGAGAGGATTCCTTCTCGAGATGTGCTAGAGCCGTCGTTGTCGCTATCATTAGCAAATCACCACCGACTCGTAGGAAACGACTAGGTAGCTGTTGTATAGGGTGCGCCATAAATATGGTAACGAAATAATTGTTGTGTAGAAACCATAGTTCCTATTGATAAATCTTGAGTTTATGTGAGCTATTCACTATGCATCGCAGTAACAAATGAACGCACGGTCGTCTTATATAAGCGGCTCCTGTACCAATTATAGCTCAAAGATGCTTCGACTACTCGTCGAGTTCCACGAAAAAATCCAGCCCTGGCTTTTTTCTACGATTTCTTAGAAGCAGCAGCAGTGGTGTTCTTTTTTTTTTTTGAAACGCTGACTTCCCTCTGCAGCATGAACTATACCCTTCGACCCATTCAATTGCGGTCGTAGGAATTCGTAGGCCAATTGAAGCGAGGATAAAATCGCGAACTTTTCTTCAGCATCAATCTTGATATTCATCCATTCATGAGCAAATACGGCGTAGTTTCCCAAGGGTATTCCTGGAGTAATCTCTGACCCTTCGCAGCACCTTCTCAGAAGGTTTCTTATCACGTTGACGACAATGTCGGTCAGTGTTGATCGACAACCAGTCTACCTCGTGCGACGATGTCGGTCAGTGGTGACCGACAGCACTGTAAAGTCAGCCAAATGAAGAAGAACTGAGGTTTTTCTGTTTCGAATTGCATTTATTCGATTCGCTAAATTTAGCGTCGAGGTTTTTGGGGAAGTGTTAAATATCAAGTGAGGAGTCATACATAATATCAGATCACAATTAAAAAGCTAGAGTAATTGGAATCATTTACCAAATTCAACAATTATGGACACTTTGGAAACATTCAAGGCAATAGAACTGATGGGATTTGTCGCACTTTGTTTTGGTTTTCTCTGCAGTATTTCTAGCCGCTGTTCTGCCATGGGTCCTTGATATGAGGCTGTAGCATTTTTTACAGAATTCTTTGCCTTGGACTTCACTCAAGGATCACAAACAAGCTTCCTTCTAGATGACGGTCTGTTCGTAGGAGCTGGTCAGTGACTTCATAAATGAAAGCACCGACAATTAATTCCTTGATGAAGTTGATCTTGATTTTTTTCCTCCTCACAGTAGAGGAACCAAGCATAAATAAAGCCGTTTGGATGATCAAATGATAAAACAGTCTGACGTACCATTTGCTCGTCTTTCTCACATAAGGCGTGGCTTGGCTATCTGGTCACCAAGACCCACAAACCCTTTCATTATGATGTAGTCGGCAACGACAACTGGCTTCCCGTCAGGCTGGCAACTTGTATCGTGTTGATAGACAGCATATGGATAATTCTTCGATCCCTCCACTTCAGAATCAGCACTCACCTCTGGTTCTGCTGTTAGAAGAGCTCCCACGTTTCAACTTTTTTCTCTCAGCGCTGAAGGTAGACCTTTTCGATTTCTTCTCAAAGTACCTACCGAGTCGGTGCGTTTCTTTATTGGTAAGCTTGTGTACCACTTGTCGGTGCACAAGCACCTGCCTTGCTTGAAAAATCCATCCATGAGCTCCATCACCACAGTTTCTGCTACTGTCCTCGTTCTCTTTGGATCCCTACCGGCTCAGCGTGTAACCTGCTTGCTCTGAAACAACTTGAACAGCTTGATCCCGAACCAATGTCTCTTGGCTCCACTGTACTGGTTTATACATCCACTGAAATTAAGCGTTCAATTAGTCCAAAGTAGGTTGACTTTTGTACACTGTCCGCATAGCTATTATTAGCAAAATGAAGGATTTGTTGAAGCTGTTCGAATCGATCTCTCACCATAGTGTCACCGGCTATGGAATGCCCGTTTCTGGGTAAATATCTAGATTTCAGTGACCAGTAGTTCCTCTGGTTGTCTAAGGGACACCGCGACATTTGTAAGCAAAGATCGAAGGAAACCTTTTCAGTTCCCTGATATCTGTCTCTTTCCACGAACGACTCTTCTGATGGCCATGTACAGTAGCGCTTAGAAGTCTTCGGTAAAATGCTTCTTCAGTCATACTTTTTTAGTCGTAACTCCTTTCCTACTGGATCTAATCACGCGAAATTTCGATATGTGTAGCATGGGTGTATTGTGAGTATTTACCATTATTAACCTGCAGTCTTATCATGTTCCAGATATCCCAAAGGGCTTGGACTCAAAGTCAACTAGAAAAACGAATGCTATTCCCTCAAGAATTTCTTTTCTTTTCGTCATGTCTAAAGTGTAATGCCGAACACAGTGGAGAACAAAAACGTACACAAGGTGTGAATAACTGCAGACGTCACTAACTTTGCTCTTAGCGAAATATGCTGCCGCATAAACATCTTATTCAAAATATGTGGATATTGCTGCTCTACAATCAAATAATGTTTTATGGTGTAAAATATGGCTTAGTTAAACATATCAAGAAAAGCGTGAAAGCGTTCGACCGAACACTTCTGAGCGCTACTGTATATTCGTTTGTAAAACTCGGGAGGGGTTTCACAGTCTCCACATCTTGATGTACTCCTGTCGGCTCCTTGAAAATCCATCTATCATTGCGGAATGCACTGTCAGTCCAGGTATTATTTTCCGCCTCACTGTCGCTATGACATTCGTCGGTCTCATCTGTATCGAAGTCTTCTGGATCCCGCACAACTGCAGGAACAAATCCACTTTCTTCCTCAGGTTCATATAAGTACTCAGCGTCACTTTCGAGCATTGAATCGTAAAAACATCTTTCCAGGACATCAGCATCATCGGCCATAGAACCCATATTGACGATAAATATTAGGGCTCTAGAAGTACCAGGGAAGTATTTTGTAAAATCCACCTAAATCTTAGCAGAATACCAGTTTTCCTTTTGCAACCATGTTCGACTATCGTTTAATCTTCGCATAGTATAGATATAACTTTGGAGGTCTCTTTGAAGCCACGACCAAGATGATACAGTGATTTTAGTCGGCTAACGTTTCGGCCAATCGCCTTCGTCAGAGCCTGGAAGCCAAAAAATATTTGAGACTCATCCTGACCAAACGACTTTCAGACCTCAGCTTAGTTCAGGTGTGGCCTATAGATAACTAGGAAAGTACTGCAAATCACAATAGGTAACCCACCTTAGATGTCACAAGAAGACCGTTGACCCTCCTTTTTTGAACTGCGTATTTATACTATTCACAGTGGGTGGGCCCGAGTGCTTTGAAACCTACCTCGGACGCCGGTGGCAGTTGAAAACCGCACAGGTCGAGGAACGGGGCAAGCTCGTTAGTTACAGCCAGACATTCATCCTTCCGATTCATTTTTGGATTTTTAGCGTAGATCCAAAAAGCTTCAAGAGTCTTTCGCGCTGAGGTCGTGGGTTCACGCATCAAGACCCTGATAGATACCCCAAACTCCACATCCTCGTGGTGGTGCCTCCTATGGTCCCCCAGGGGCGTTTTGTTCCTCGATTTCTTCAAATCATCCAGGCGTTACTTAGCCCTGCATATTAGAGGTCTTCCGGTCTCGCCTATGTACTCATCTCCACAGAGGTTGCATGTGATCACGTAGATCACACCTGATGTATGCAGTTACCCCCTCGCCCCTTGGGACAGATGATACAGTGGGGGGTCGTGCAGAAACGATCATAGAGACGGTTTTGTACCAGCCTCTGCTTCAGATTTCTGGGGGGAACTTCAACCACCCGGACCGTGTCATCGAGCCCACACTTTCGCAAGGCCATTCTCACGTCTAGACTGACGGAGTCCGAAACGAAAGGAAGGCAAAAAGGCACCTTCTCCGAATTCTCACTTCTTGGCTCGTGTGGTTTTCGTTGGGGTGGTCTGCCATAGCGTCAGTCCCTCAGGGGATACCCATTGGAGAGAGCCACCTTTTTAGCGAGTTCCACGGATTCTACTTGTTCTTGGCCCCCCGATGAGGCCATTTTTGCAGTTCTTATCATATTCGCCGTGATAGCCTGCTTGATTTTGCGTGGATGCGCCGACCTGAAATGGACTAAAATATTCTTGCTGGTGGGCTTCCTGTACCATTTTGCCCGCAGGAACCCTGGCTCAAGCTGGACCTGCATGTTGAAAACGGCAGCCACTTGTCATTTGGCTTCTCCCGTGTAAACCGTATGTTGTCAGCCTGGCTCTTCAGCAATTCGAAGCACTTGTCCATTTCTTTCTGGGTTGAGCAGGCGACGAAGCAGTCGTCTACGTATCGAGTCGTCTTCTGTTCACCCACTCCTTAAACGATCTCTGATCGGAGTCGTTGCAGAAAAGTTTCACTGATGAAATTTCACGGAGAACAATAAGGACCCCACCCATTCAATACTAAAAAGGAGATCAGGACTAGAATGAATCTTCGTAGGAATAACCAGTTACAATGTCCGCCGATTTCGAGCCAATTCCTTTGAATATCAATATAGAACTCCGCGTAGCAAAAAAAGCCTAGAATTCATATGCAAAACTCTTTCTTTTCCTGTTTTCAATCATTACCTCTGTTTTAGCTATAACACTCCAAGCTAGGTATTCTAAAAAAGCCAGCATGGACATCAGAATGGACCCAGCTAACAGATTTATTCCGTAAGGAATTCCTGCTGCTCTGATGGCCCTCTAGGTTTAGGCTTACTCAACCAGAACGGACTAAAGTTTCTCACCCGAACGAAGTATTTCACTTTCGAAGAAACTCTGTTGAGGGTGAAAACGATTTCCGATATCAAAGGTACATTTATGATCAGAGGATATATTACGCACGAGTACACTTTAGCACCTCCTACGTCCACATAAAATGAATTCAACAATCAAATACGTAAAAGAAAATACAAAAATGTAAGCCGCATCTAGTCCAATTAATCTATCGCCTTATTGTTAGCTAAAAATGCAGAACAAATGCACAGATGCGGGTGTGAAGAAGAGTTTTAATCGCATAATTAACAGTGTCATGACTGTATAACAAGCCGTCTGTACAACAGTAGAAGACTTGAACGAATGAATATTCAAGAATTAGTGACAAAATTCATTTCTCTTTCTCTTGTAAGACTGTCCCACGGATACTTTTACTGATACCGTCTCAGTCGATATCAGTAAAATTCAACTTGTAGAGGTTATGGGAGGTCCTGGCCACAACCACGACCAGACAGACGCTTGCTTTGGCCCTGGTGTAATATGGAGCCAATCTGGAGGTGGTAGCATAAAATGCAAAAACGGCGAAACCCCGAGGATTCGAACCATCAACCCAGCCTACCCGTCCCATCTCGAAGTCCTCATCGCTATCCACCAGACCATCCGACGCTGCTGGCTGGGTAACCGTGGAGAGCACATATGAAACTTCCCCGCACCTTCCAACATGTTTCAACATGTGGGCCCCTTTTTTGGCTACCGTTCACGTTATTTTCAGTGCGCAGCCCACTGGGCCTTCTGATGTGCGGACAGTCGACGCCATGAATGAAACAAACGACGCTTAGTGGGTTAAAACGGCAATTTTTGACAAAATTTTTTCCACCCCTTTTTTGGCATTCAGACGGCCATTTAGCGGAAATGGACCATAGTTTTATACTCAGTGCTCATGCCCCTGTACCATGCAAAAAACCATTTTTGATAAGCGTCCCACGCCCTGATAGACCTTCCTTGTAAGGTGGGTTACCTATTGTGATTTGCAATACTTTCCTAGTTATCTATAGGCCACACCTGAACTAAGCTGAGGTCTGAACGTCATTTGGTCAGGATGAGTCTCAAATATTTTTTGGCTCCCAGGCTCTGACGAAGGCGATTGGCCGAAACGTTAGCCGAATAAAATCATTGTATCATCTTGGTCGTGGCTTCAAAGAGACCTCCAAAGTTTTTCTATTGTTTCCAGGAGTTTTTCTACTTGTTTCACACAAATAATAATCCTTATAAATCACCTGCATCACCTGTCGTCCCGTTGATCATCGACTGTCTCGAGCGGGCGCCAGTAACGTCTCCATTCGTTCCTGTCACGAGCCAGAGTGGTCCAGTGAATCGTTCTCGCTTCAGGGACACGAGGTTCAACATTCCTTTCGTTCAGAGCTTTCGTGAAGAAGTCTGACCATCTCGTTGGCGGCCTTTCTGGAGTTCGTTTGATGTCCCGAGGGATCCACTCAGTAACCGCCCTGCTCCAACGGTCATCACTATATCGCATAACGTGTCCGGCCCACCTGATGTTCGATTTCTTGGCGTAATCAACGGCATCCCTGATCTTCGTTCGGTGACGGAGCTCGGAACTCCGGATTCCCTTCTGCACTTGCGTGTATAGAGAAATTCCGAGTATCGTCCTTTCCAAAGCGCGTTGAGTAACGCTGACAGCATGCACATCCTGCTTTCGTGGAGTCCAAGTCTCCGAGGCGTACGCCAAAGCAGGAAGGACAGCAGTGTCGAAAAGGTGAGCGCGGAGCCGGATATTCTTTGCCTTCTTCGCTACTCCCTCGATATTCTTAAATGCTCCCCACGCGGCGCGTTTCCTTCTGCACAGCTCTGGAGCTAGGTCGTTCATCATGTTGACTTCCCGACCTAGATACACATAGCTAGAGCAGTCGGAGATATTCGTTCCGTTTAATGTGAAAGGAGCATCAAGTACCAGTCCATTTTTCATGAACATCGTTTTCGTTAGGTTCAGCCTCAAGCCGATCTTTCCACAAGCATTATCAAACTCGGCCAGCATTCGTTCCGCCTGCTCGATGTTCGGTGTTATAAGCACGATGTCGTCTGCAAAGCGGAGGTGATGTAGAAAGCGGCCGTCGACCTTCACTCCCGAGTCTTCCCATTCCAAATGACGCANAGGTGACTCCCATGTCCATCTTAAATGAGAGGGCTTCTGGAACTGCGAGTTACCATGGATGGTGTGGGTCGTCATGATAAACTCGGACAGCCTTTCACCCTGCTCATTCCATTCCACTCCGTGAGTCCCGATGTGAAGCTCTTCAGCCGTTCTTCTGGGGCCAATCTTGGCGTTAAAATCACCGACGATGACCTTGAAGAAAGTGTGGTCTTTTCTGTAGAGCTTCTCCAGATCCATATAAAACGCTTCCAACTCCTCTTCTTCGTAGCTCGATGTTGGTGTGTAAGCAACGAAGATGGTTAGAGCTGGGATTGAGCCGCATCTTCTCAATCGCAAACGTCCGATTCGGGTTGTTAAGCTTTCGTACGAATCGATGTTCCTGGCCAAGTGCGTATTGACGAGGACACCTACGCCGCCGACGCCTCTACTGTCGCATGTTCCAAGGAACAGTTCTTCTCCAGTCTCAAATACAGCGTGCAGCGGGCGATGCCTTCTCGTCTCGGTCAGTCCGATGACGTCGTACTTGATCTTCCTAGCTTGCATCATCAGGTCTTCTAAACACGCTTCCGATGTGAGCGTCCGTGCGTTGAACGACAGATCGCCATCTTAGTCCTTCTCCTTTTGGGCAGCCTGTTTTTGGCCCTAAGATTTTAGCAGCCTCTCCCGGATGGTCCTACCCAACGCTGCCGTATTGGGGCTACCTCAGATTCAGCGGAATGCGGCCCATTTCTATTACTGTTTCTGGCGTGAAGATACCCAACGTGCAGCTTGCCAGGCTCTGACGTGGGGGCTATTGTCTCCGGGGGCTTGCCAGGCTATCCCAAAGTGGACAAGGGGCTTTGTTTTTGGAGGCGGCCCCGAATCGCCTCCAGATACTTCCCTGCGTGACTTATTCATCACTCGAATGCAAGCTTTTGGCCGAGTCGATGGGCAGGATACCAACTGCACCCACAGACTCTCCACACACGTATGCATGGATTGCCTGCGAGGAACAGAGGGTATATCGACCCAGCACAGAGGAACCAAGGAGTCCATCCCCTGAATCCACCTGCGTCTCTGGGCAAGTACCGGTGACTTTTGGTCGGCGATTAATTCCCCTATCCGCCACCTGGGGACGCCCTACGTTGCCTCGTCACTAACCGGCTGGGGATCCTTCAGTGAGAGAGAGCCCTCAGTGAAGGAGATCCGTAGAATCCTTATACGTCAATACGGTAATTAGATATGGTGTCTGTCCCGTGGGACGATGTCGGTCTATGGTGACCGACGATTAGCCAGCGTTTCAAACGGTCTGGTCCCGTGGGCGCGCAAGCGAAAAACGCTCTCGTTGACAACGTGTTATGGAGATGATATGATTGTTTTTTATATCTTTCTCGACAAAATAAGCAATACGCTGCGATGACACAAATTTCAGCTCAAATCATCATGGAAGAGAGAAAATTGCTACGATAATAATCGGACCTTTCTCATCGGCTCCGGCACTCGTTGTGAGAAACATGCGTGTATCTGAGATCTGAACATGTGATCCACGCGGAGCCCTTTTTATCACAAAAAAGTGTTGGAGCGTGCCGCGTACAAGTTGGCACGGTATTTGTGCTCTCCGTTAAATTTCTTCTCGTCTGAGAGCTTATAAGGCTTTCGGAATCTATCTGGATAGAATGGTATTTACTTGGGGAGGGCGTTTTGTTATCGAAATAAACATACGGTCAATTTCTCGTGTTGCTGCAGGTTTCGTAGTTTTATCATTTCCAGGCAATCGTATTCGGAAAAAGGATCGTAACTGAGATAAGACGACCGTCTTGAAAGTTGTCCTTGACCTGCCCACGCAACACGATTCTAGAAGCGTCATGCGAGAAATTCCGACCCGAAGAGCGATCCCGTAAAACGGCTGTGTGCGCACAAAGACGGGATGGCTGCAAGATGACTGCAAGGCTTACCTTTTTCGAAAGCTGGCGAATTGAGAGCATCAAAGCAGCTATGTGATCCAAGGTATATCATAAACATGAAGGGAAGTGCAGATTTAGAAAAACCCTTCAAACAAGGAAATTGTGGGGTTTCGTAAAGTTGGTATCATATTTGTGGCACACCCTGTATATAGGATCACATAGTATGAAAATTATGTTATCTGTCGTCGCTTAACCAAATAAAGATACTTGGTCGCGGGGCCGCGATGATTAGATGTGTGCCGCCGTATTTTTGAACGCTGATCTAAACCTGTGTTACAAACCTGCGAAACGATTCTTTGAACGAAGTTAAGGAACCGATTTCTCCTTGTGATATACCACTGTACAGAACACACAACGGAACTAAGCAAAAAGGCGCAGCCGATAGCACGATGAACTTGCAGGCATGACATGAGGGTTCGGATACTTGCTGCACACGCTCGTTTTGGTTTTCCATCAAAAGTGTCCTAACAGTTGGAAAACGTTTTTCGGTTCAATGGCCATCTAGTGAACTTCCGTACATTTTATCATTCCGAGGAACAGTGATCAACAGTAATCCGTTATTTTTTCACCGTCTTAAACCAAAAAGGTGCACCTCTTTACCCGAAACACTCAAGAGAGAGTTTCAAAATTTTCGGCTGCTCCCTGCACTTACGGTAGGGAGCGGTCGAATGACTAATCTGACCAATACCCCATTATGATGGGATGCGGTTCTCGCATTCGAGGAATACTGCCCGCACTTTTGCAGCGTTGGTACAGGTTAATTGGCATTTTCAAAAAATACTGTGGAACAATAATAGATAGATTTATGTGCAATATGGTAATCCCCTACTTGTCGAGAAACCTAGAAAACTTTTTTCGAGGTAAACGTAGTTGATGCGGTTGAACATGATACGACGGCTAAACTCAAAACCCTGAACTCACATACTCTTGCTCCGAGTTTAGCCTCTATGACGACTTTGTTGCTCATTTTACTGTCTTTCTGTGGGAATAACTTTTGTACAATGAGATTCCTAAATTAAGTTTATGATACAACATGCTACATGCCGATGACATGCTTCCAACTTATCCGGGAATCTATGAGCAGACAGATCGACCCACTCGCTTTGCACTCTGTAGTTACAACCACATTAGACATGCTAATTTGTCGAAAATAGACTAATTCGAGAGCTCATGCTCCCTCTCACTTTGCTTTAATTTCCTTAGATGACACTCGGACATGATGGAACAAAACTTGATTTTCGTGCACGAGGTTCCAGAAGTACAGCTTCTTTTGACATTCGACTATAGAAAGCTATGAGCTCTGCTACCAGCGACATAAAATCGAAGATCATGGGCGAATTCACAAAACGGAGGTCACGTTCCCCTTTGAAACCACTATATCAACACAAACACGAGGTTTCTGTCGCGATGGGATGGCTCAATCGTCGCTATTATCATCAGCAACCGTAAAGGACAATTGTAATCGCCTTTCACGGACTCGTCTTCCTCGCACTCTCCAACGAGCCTGCTATACAGCATCAAAAAGCATGGTTGAAAAGCTCTACACCGCTTCTCGCCCCTCCCTATATGTGCTCACGCCATGGTGCAAGAACGAAAAATCTTTTGCAAATACAATATACAACGTACACCTCAAGCAGAATATTCCGCTGGTAACACGATGGGTTTT